GCCTGCACTACCCTAAGCCCACATGGAAAATCGAGCCATACAACAGCCCACTTGGCCACAATGTTATCCCTAGGAACAGCCGCTGGGCACTGTGGGGATACTGTCTTGGTAACATGGCCACAACCAATTTCTGGCAGGTGTTCGTCATCAATGGTCCTATGCGCAGCCTCCTGCGGAAGAAGAAGCCGCTGCGTCGTTTGAAGATCAAGCTGTAAATTGTAAACACTTTAGTTGTTTTTATAAATTCAAAGCTATCAACGCCGTATCACGAACTATGCACTCGTGTAGAAATGTTACACTGAGCGGCAAAATTGAGTCACAAAAAATTTTTTCAACTTTTTGATGCTCTATCATTGCCATCAGACAACATAGATACTTCCATTCGATATATGTGTGATAGGGCTTGACATAGTATAAAAGTATGTAGTTACATGTTCTCTAACTGTTGTACCTCGCATGATATCGAAGCAATCGTAAAAAAGTAGAAAAATTGGAGAGGCAAAAATTTGACTCACTTAGACTTCATACTGCCATTTATACACCTTATCTTTTTTCGAATAATGTGAAATCACTACCCATAACTCTGTTGCACTCGCTCTTCAATAATAATATCTCGTCCACAACGTTGCTCAACTACGCATGGTACTATCATGTAATCAATATGCGAAGAAAAATTATGAAGGAAATGATCAATGCTTTAGCGCTGCCATCACTCTTATGGATGATGAATATATAGTTGATACTCACATGACTAGTATTCAATGCTGAAGAGAAATGAGTTTGATAGCTAGTTCACTGAAGGAATTATCAACTATAAATGATGTACAACTACATATCAGCTCACCTTTCAAGCAATATAAATCTATGATGTGATTTTTTTTATAGTATCAGTATATTGATAAGTAGAGAGATTACTACTGTGGCTATCTGCTCTATACTATGAGATATCTATATGTAACCTCTGTGGCTAATGATAAGCAATTTAGTATGAATCATATATTTTGCAATTTTCGTAATCCCTCTTTAAGCAGCTCCTTCTGATCAAATACTCAATAGATCAAATAAGATATACTTACTATACAAAGCACATGCCCCACAGGTAGCAGTGGGGATAAAATATCTTGATAAATATACTCTATTCTGTGAATATTAGGAAGAAATCTAGAATCATAGAAAATCAGAAAAAGTATATTCTTAGTTTAGAGTAGTGTATCTCTATACAGCTATGGCTATTGCTTCCTTAGTAGAGGGGGAGGTGACACACTGACCAGTGTGTATATGATGATATAAAGCATACCTTGAATACACTGAGCAGCAAAAGTGAGTCACAAAAATAAAAATCAACGAAAATCTTAGATAATTTCTCTGAACGATGTTCAATGAATATGATAAAATTATATCATGGTGTATGCCATGCACTAATCTATTTCATGTAGTTGTGTGCTTATCACTCTTGAAATAAGCGAGAAACTGACATTTTAAAAATAAAAATTTTAGACTCAATTTTGCTCACAAAATTCGTCAATTTTTTTCTCACTAACTAGCAGAGCCACCATAGGTTCTTTTGACTGCAGCGATACGCACAGGCATCGAGTTCACTAGCCATGAACTAGCAGTTTCGTTTACTTGCCTATGTACAATTTCCTAGACCAACAAAACATTGGTGCTAAAAACGATGATTTCTGGCCTTTATCAGATCATACTCATGGTGAAGCCCTATAAGTGAGTAGCGCATCGTAACTAGGTGATGCCACTGATCATCATCCAGTAGAAACAGTACACATATCTAGCCAACTTGTGGCCTAAATTGCCATTTATGTGATGATAACTTCATTAGACGTAATTTTTCCACTCTCCTATTGCATTTCTTAGGTATTTACTCAAGGTATGTTTTATATCATCACATACACACTGGTCAGCATGTCACATCCCCCTCTACTAGGGAAGCAATGGCCATAGCTCTATAGAGATATATTACTTAAAACTCAGAATCCACTTTTTCAGATTTTCTTAGAATCTAGATTTCTTCCCAGTGTTCACAGAATAGAGCACTTTCATTAGGATATTTCATTCCCATAGTCACCTGTGGGGCATGTGCTTTGTATAGTAAGTACATTTGATTTGATCTAATATGTTTTTGATCATAAGGAGCTGCTTAAAGAAGGATTAAGAAAGTTGCAAAATTTGTGATTCAGATTAAATGGCTTATCATTAGGCACAGAGATTACATATAGATATCTCATAGCATAGAGCAGATAGCCACAGTAGTAACCTCTCTACCTATCTATATATTGTTACTATAAAAAATCAAGTCATAAAATTATATTGCTTCAATAGAGAGCTTAAGCATAGTTGTACATCATTTATAGTTGATTACTCCTTCAGTGAACTAGCTATCAAACTCATTTCTTGTCATCGTTGAGTACTAATCACGCGAATATCAACTATGCAATCAACATCTATAAAAGTGAAGGCAGCGCTGAAGCGTTGATCATTTCCTTCATGATTTTTCTTCACATATTGATTACATGATAATACCATGCGTAGTTGAGCAACGTTGTGAATGAGATATTATTATTGAAGAGCGAGTGCAGCAGAGTTATGGGTAGTGATTTCACATTATTCGAATATTGATATGGTATAGAAATAGCACTACGAAGTCAAAGTGAGTCAAATTTTTGACTCATGAATTTTTCTACTTTTTTACTATTGCTTCGATACCATGCGAGGTACAATAGTTAGAGAACATGTAACTAAATACTTTTATACTATGTCAAGCCCTATCGAACATATATCGAATGGAAGTATCTATATTATCTGATGATGAAGATATAGTATCAAAAAGTTGAAAAAATTTTTTGTGACTCAATTTTGCCGCTCAGTGTACATACCTATGATAACCAGTAGGAGGGTGCAAAGATTATGTCTAAAGAAGTCATTATCATATAAATGGCAATTTGGGCTACAGGAGGTCATTCAGAGTTAGTTATCTGCACAACAATTATTTGTACATGTTCAAACTATTGGCAATTTCAGTGAAATAAAAATTTTACCCAAACTGCCATCGGCATCTTGGAAAAGTTTCAGTGAACATAATTTCCTTGTGGTTGCTTAGCCACATCTATTGAGATATGGACTTTTGTTGCCCAATGATAATTAACCCCAAATATGCAAAGCTTTTTTTTCTGGTTGAAATTATGTTCACTGAAACATTTCCAAGATGCCGATGGCGGTTTGGGTGAAATGGCAAAAAATATTTGTATTTTTAAAATCAAATATACACACGAAAACATTCTGGACATAATAAGTAATATTAACTATGATAAAAATAACTAGTAGTAAAAATCTGCTCTGAGAACGATTAATCAAATATCTAACTAACAAAATTGGAATTTACTATAATTTACAAGTCCAAGAATGACCCCCATAAGTTAGCTAGATATGTATATTGTTTCTATTGGATGATGAGCAGTGGCATCCTCTAGATACATGCTCTACTCACATATAGGGCTTCATTATGAGTATGATCTGATAAAGACCAGAAGTCATCGTTTTTGGCACCTACATGGCATTGGCCTAGGAATTATAAATAGGTAAATAAATGAAACTGTTTGTATATAGCTAGTGAACTCGATGCCTGGGTGTATCACTGCAGTCATAAAAGCCTATGGTGTCTATACTAGATGTTGAGAAATAAATCGACGAATTTTTGAGAGCAAAATTGAGTCAAAAATTTTTAATTTTTAAAATTGTAATTTCTCATTTATTTCAAGAGCAATAACCATACAACATCATGAAATAGAATAGTGCATAGCATACACCACGAATTAATTTTATCGTATTCAATGAACAATGTTCTGAGCAATTATTTAAGATTTTCGATGATTTATATTTTTGTGACTCAATTTTTGCTGCCCAGTTTACTTTCAACTCTTAGATAAATATAATTATTTGTCAATCCATTCTATAGAGTAATTGTGTTTCAAATATAAATATCAGCACTTATTTGAATAAGAGTTAGTTGCTATTCTCTCCTAATAATATGATTATCTATATAGAAGTATTGTTGCATGCCTGATGCGGCTGTCCCTGACATCGACATGTCAGCCGAATCAGGTGACAGAAATCCAGGTGCCAACGAGAGCCCCGCTACAGCCTACGATATAGAGGTAGAGTCTAGCCTCTGATAAGTAGCACAGATGGTAGTATTAAAAACTCCCCTGTGCAACTCGTGTGTTTACTTGTCTCTCTTTTCTTCAATATTAAATATGCATTTAATACCCCCTACATAGTCGACCGACACAACAGTATGAATGTCCTCTGAATATATGGAGTACATATTGTATAACTATTAATTCAATACCTATATGAAGAATATTGTAAGCAACTCTATATATTAAAGGCATAAGATCTGTATTCTCTTCTATAAATACTACCGCTGTTTGATATAGAATGATACCTTTAATTGCTGTTATTAGTAAATTGATCATTTAGTCTACTATAGAAAACTATACATATATTATTTCCATTAAATATATTACTCTTTACTTGTTTGTTTTCTATCTATATACTAATTATTCTATTATAGTTCAATAATCATTCCTCTTCAAAAGTATGGTATTACTTATATAGGATATATAGGCTAGAAGTAATATCTCTACTTTGAGCAATAGATATCATCTTATTAGCTCTTCTAAGAACTTTTTTTATTTCAACCCTATTCATAGGCGAATTGTAAATTTAATAAAGGACGGTATTCACAATTACTAAACTAGGTATTTGATAATTAAAACTTTTAAATATTTTTATTCTTTTATTTTTTTTGTACTACTATGAAACCACTATTGGCATCCTGAAAAATTTCAATTGATTTATAATTTGTCAATTGGGTATTCTAATATATGAAATTAGGTTTCTTTAAACTTTCTTATTTGTGAATGGCCTCCTTGAGAGTACATCTTAACTCCCTTCTGGGACTTGAGTTGAAGAATAGAGATAATATGCCAGATATATCTGATGCAAGATATACTAGTAATGGCATTGAACAACAAGGATTTGTTCAGCAATTTGATATCTTTATGGATTCATGTGTTGTTGAGATTCCTGAGTCATGCATTCTAATGGATCAAATTCATAATACTACTCCATTTGATAGATTGCATAGAGTTTTTGGTGATGGATACAGATTTAAGTACATCAGATGCATGACAAGTGTGAGAAATGGTAAAGTCTCTGTTTACAAGGTATCTGCTCTAAATGTTGCAATAGCTGATCCTACACTAACTGATATCTTTCTTAGGATGCATCAAGAACATGTATTACTTCTGAACTATGATATTCCAAAAGATTGTCTAAACATATCTTCTAGGGCTGTTATCAAGGAGTTTCTTCTTGATAATGGAATCAGTAGCAATGATATTCTTGATGATGAAGATGAAATATGAATTAGGAACAAGTTGTATAATAAATTTGTTCAACTCTTAGAAAGTGGTGAAGTTCGCAATCAACTTACTTCTAAGCTATCAGAGCTAGTGATGCCAACTTCTCAACAGTTTGGTGAAACACTTGTTGCTTGTAGGAATGAAGGATTAATGAGACTTGAGCTTACTGTTCACACTCCTGAGTTGAAAGAAGTAGAATGGACCATAAACCTAATTGTCAATACACTTGAGTTTCTTAGTAACTGTAGGATATTTGCAATATCTTATGAAAAGCAGTGGATGGCACTAGTTGATCAGATTCATAACAAACATACATTACGCATTTACTTTCATAAAGAACATGCTCTTGCTTACTGCCATTGGTTCAATCAGACAACTAAGAAGAAACAAGGAATAGCTAAAAAGTTGAAAGAGAATGAGGATATGATGACTGTTGTTTCTAATCTTACATTCAATGGACACCTAACTATTCTTCATACATATGCTACTAGTAGTGGTCCATTTGAATCTGAAGTTGTTCTGAGAAGAGATATCACAAACATCACTATTGTTCCTAGTCAGAGAAATTCCTTCTGGCCTGTTGCTTCAAGACAAAGGCAACAGCACACATATGCTGAAATGGGACTTGTTAACTATCATGGAATGCATATTGATTGGCTAACTGTTCAACAAGCAAGAGAGAAAGTTTGTCTATCAACTCTCTCAAGTGCTAGTGATAATACTGATGCATTTGGAATAGATGATCATATTGGAGGCCATTCACAAATAAGAAAATTTAAAGAAACATAACATCTTGTACACTGAGTGGCAAAATTGAGTCACATAACTAAAAAAGTTGAAAAACTAGAATAATTTCTATGATCAGCATGTACCACTCATGTTATAATTAATTCACAATCTACGCAGTGCGTAACTCTAACACATGTAGTTTCATGCGTATTGCTCATCTATTCATTGAATAATTGATATTTACAAATAAAAAATTTTGACTCTATTTTGTTCACAAAAATTCAACGATTTATTACTCAATATCTGGTATGGCCACCGGGGGCTTTTTTGATGGCTGCGATACGCGCAGGCATCGAGTTCACCAGCTGTGAGTAAATGGTTTCATTTACATGCTCACACCAGATGTCCTGGACCTGCTCCCAGAGGGTGTTGAGATCTTCAATTTCTGGCCCATTGCAGATCTCACTCTAAATGAAGTCCTATAAATGCTCAATGGGGTTGAGATCAGGGGATTGCACTGGCCATGGTAGCACTGAAATGGAGTTCTCAGCAAACCACTTCCTTGTCCTAGAAGCCATATGGCATGAAGCATTGTCCTATTGGAAGATGATGTCATCCTTATCCAGCCCATACATCTCAATTGTTTGCAGTAGTTCCTCCTGCAGGACACCCACATAGACCACTGTGTCAATTCCCCCCTCAAACCAGCAGAGTTGGCCAAGGCCACGCAAAGTTATGTATCCCCAAACCATGATCCCACCTCCACCATATTTTTGGGTTGGGGTAATGTGGTGATCCTGGAGGACTCCACCTGGTTTACGTAAGCACCTTTCACATCCATCTGCTCCATTGAGGTGTATTCTTGTCTCATCTGACCAAATTACCTGACTCCAATTGGTGTCTGTCCAGCTCCCAAAGGCCATAGCAAATTGGCATCGATCCTTATGATGGCAATCTTTCAGTTGAGGGACATTTATTCTGCGCATAGATCAAATCCCTTGGCGACGTAGTGCGCGTCTGATAGTGTACACTGAGATGTGCATACCAGAGTATTGTGCCAGCTGTTGTCGGATCTGCGTTGCTGCGGAACATGCACTAGTAGTAGCAAGTCGACAAATGTATGTCTCATCATGTAGTGATAGCAGCCGACTATGACCAGCATGGAAGTTCCTCTCTACGCTATGTTGTGCTCGGGCAATGTGTGATACTGTGGATTGGGAGACTCCTGTGTCCAATACAATTTGCCGAGTTGATAATTGTTGTGTTAGAAGATATTGGATGTGATTTATTTTTGATGACTGTAATTTTTTAGGCATAGTTAGATAGGGGATGAGATATGGATGTGGAAGAAAGAATGCTGTTGTATTGATGGCAAAAATTTTGAATTTTTCCATAAATGTTTTGGGCATAAAACTAGTCATTGAAAGTAGGAAAGGACAAAAATAAGCACCACTAAAAATTACTGCTATTTCAAAAGATAGTAATTTCTAGTGAGTGCGACATTCTAGGAACATTGGTCATAAACAATACTCATCATTGCAAGCAAGTGATATGCATTCCCTGCTATTAAGGGTATGGTATTACTGCTTTTTCCACAATCGGACATTTTTTGAAGAAAAATTTGTATGACTTAATTTTGCCACGCAGTGTATATTGCAATTTCCTATTACTGTCTTATTTTATTTATGTTTGGTCCATATTAAACATTTTAATATATGCATTTACATCTGTATAATGAAATATCAGTAGTATTCATATCTCATATTTGTATTTAAATAATTTTTGGAATTATATATAAAATATCCAGCTGTAGGAAACATACCATATTATACTATTAGACATATCATATAAAATGAATGTATTACTTTTTACTCTATATTTCTTTTGTGCTATATCTCTATATAGGCCACTAGGCCTAGGTATCATAGTAGTTAATAGTGGTAATAAAGATAGTCAGAGCTATTTCCTCCCATCGCTTAGATTCCCATTTTCCCTAGAGATCCCCTTCTGGAGACAAATACCACATTCTAATGTAGTAATGCTATCTACACTTTCTAAGACTTTGACACACCTAGGGATATGTGATACAACTGATGATGAATTTTTCCCATCAAGCTGCATACCATCACCTTTAGGAGAAACACCAGTATCATATCCTGGGCCAGATCTACTAACAAAGGAATCATCTGAGATAGTACTAGTATCATCTACAGTGTCTTTGAATCATGATGCAGAAATACTGACAATACAGCACCCTTTAACTACTAGAGGACTGCATAAAAGACGTAATGTTGAAGTAACAATTGATATAGTTACTCCCTTTTGAAAGGCTCCTTCTCCAAATACCATTCATAGCACTTAATATAATTCGCAATAGTGTACTACTTGCATTTGAGATACCATTATTATTATTAGGACTAGTGTAAATGAGCACTTATGATTTATAGTAGTATCAATTCCTTTGGGGCAGATAGAAGATAAAATTTTAGTATTATATGGTATAGATTTTATGGTGAAGGAGCATTAATAAACTGAGATCTGAAACTAAGCTATATAATTAACTTCTTCCAATATCACTTTAAATGCAGGCGGAAAGTACAATTTATACCTAGATATCTACTACTTAAGGCATATTATCAGAGAGCAGTAATACTATACTCATGACGAAAGGACATCATCCTTAGCAATAAGTAACACACTGAATAGAATAAATGAGTTAGAAAAATACATACTTCCTGAACTCCAATATTAAATCATAGTATATTCTATGCATTATAGTATTTCATATAATTGCATGCTTATCACTCATAAACACATATGAATATTGATCATTGGGGGTTATACAGAGACACTTATCTGCCCATTAACTATTTATGCATGCTGGAACTATTAGCAATTTCAGTGAAATAAAAATTTCACCCAAACCGCCATCGGCATCTTGGAAAAGTTTCAGTGAACATAATTTCAACCAGAAAGAAAAACTTTGCATATTTGGGGTTAATTATCATTGGGCAACAAAAGTCAATATCTCAATAGATGTGGCTAAGCAACCACAAGGAAATTATGTTCACTGAAACTTTTCCAAGATGCCGATGGCGGTTTGGGTGAAATGGCAAAAAAAATATTTGTATTTTTAAAATCAATTATACACACAAAAACATTCTGGACACAATAACAAATAATAACTATAGAAAAAATAATTAGTAGCAAAAAATAGTTCTGAAAACGATTATTCAAATATCTATCTAACAAAATTGCAAATAACTAAAATTTACAAGTCCAGGAATGACCCCCTTCCAGAGTGAACTAAGAGCATTACTATCAAGAGTGTTATCAGAAAGAAGAAATATGCCTGATGTCGCTGATGCTAGGTATACTGCTAGAGGTATAGAGCAACTTGGATTTGAGCATTCTTCTGAAATATTTGTTGACTCATTCATTGTTGAGGTTGTTGTTGAGAAATGCAGTGAATCAGATATAAAGGTGAAGCAGAAGTCAGCTAGTGTTAGATTGCATAAAGTATTTGGAGAAGGTTTTGGTTATAAGTATGTTAGAAGTAAGATTAGTGAAAAATATGGTCCAGTTGCTATTTACAAAGTATCTACCCCAAATATTGCAATAGCTAGTTCTTTGTTAACAGTGAAGTTTGCTGCTATGGCTGATTACAAAATATATCTACAAAATTATGACATCACAATGGATTGTATGAATATCTCATCTAGAAATATTATCTATAAATACCTTTTAGAAAGAGGAGTTGAAAAGAAAGATGTTGTAGATGATTTACGCAAGTCTGGCTCTAACTGCATTAGCTGGTTTACAAAGAAAGGAGATGTTAAAGTTAAGAACAAAATTTACAACAAGTTTATTCAGCTTCTTGAGAGTGGTGAAGTTCGTAATCCTCTTAGTTCAAAACTTTCTGAATTTATAATGCCAACTTTGCACAACTTTGGAGAAACATTGTATGCTTGTAGAAACTCTGGTTTGACTAGGATAGAACTAACTGTACATTCTTCTCAGATGCAAACATTTGAATGGAATAGCAGCTTGCTTCTTAACACAGTTCAGTTTATGAATAAATGCAGAACATTTGCAACTTCTTATGAAAAGCAGTGGATGGCACTTGTTGATAAAGTTAGTAGTTGTTATACTGTTTGTATTTATGTGAGACAACAGCATACTCTAGCATATTGTCATTGGTTTAACTCTATCACATCAAAGAAGCAAGGAATTATTAAGAAGCTAAACAAGAATGATGATCCAATGGTAGTTGTTGCTAATCTCTCATTCAACAATAGACCTACACTTTATCAAATATATGATTCACTTGAGAGTGGTCTTGAAACAGAAAAAGTTCTTAGAAGAGTTGATGAGAATATAACTATTGTTCCAAGTCAGAGAAACTCCTTCTGGTCAACTTATCCTACAACTAAGCAGTATCACACTTTTGAAGAGATGGGATTAGTTAACTACAAAGGAATGCATATTGGTTGGATAGATAGTAAGCAAGCAAAGAGTAAGATATGTTTATCAGAAATATCAGAGGTTGATTATTCTGCAAAAGAGGAAAACATCAATGCATTAACAACAGCAATAGACAATATCACACTTGATGAAACTAGACATATATTTATCAAAGAGAATACAGATCTGAAACCATCACTGTATAGAGTTGCTTACAATGTTCTTCAGTTAGATGATGAATTTATAGTTACACATTATGCACTCCATACTTTCAGAGGACATTCATACTTCTATGTTGATATTCATATTAAAGGGAGAGATAAACAGCCAACTCTTATTAGGACACCAGCTGACAGTTCTATTGGAAAAGCAATTTCTCAACAGTTAGGAGAATCAAAGCAACAAATATATCTAAGAGCTGTAAGTGTGGGATATAGAACAATCACAGTTGAGTAGCAGCCATTTTAAAACATAGTATATGCAACCATTCTCTCCATATCTCTATGGAAAGTTTGACAAACATCATACACATGTTCAACCCTTACCTCACAATCAGTAGCAATATGTTGGATCCAATTACGCACTTGTATTGCTAAGTCATCACTCATATCAAAGTCATGAATAAGTAGCAGAGTAAGCATATCTCTTTCTTCCTCACACATCTCAGCTAAGTGTTGCTTGAAGAAGTTTTGGAATGATCCCATTTTCTAAAATTGATAAAAGTTGAAATTTTTATTTATGACTACCTCACACAGATGGACAATCAATTACAAGAATTAAGAGAGAAGGAGTGGAATGTGCTCTACACAACAAAGTGGAGATTTCTTGATGAAGATTGGTTAGTACATAAACAACAGAAGTACTATAGGAGTGAAGCTCATGAAGTGAAAGAAATAAAGCTCATCAAAGGTACACTTGTGAAGCAACTTGGAATGATCCCTGTGTTCTTCTTCCTAAATGTTCTATTTGGTGGAAAGCAGTATCCATGTCCTTACAGAAATGTTGAGAAAGGACTCTTGATTTTATACCAGTTAGTTGCTGGGCTATCAATCAATGGAGGTCATTCAGAGCTAGTTATCTGCATAACAACTATTTATACATGTTTAAACTATTGGCAATTTCAGTGAAATAAAAATTTCACCCAAACCGCCATCGGCATCTTGGAAAAGTTTCAGTGAACATAATTTCCTTGTGGTTGCTTAGCCACATCTATTGAGATATTGACTTTTGTTGCCCAATGATAATTAACCCCAAATATGCAAAGGTTTTTCTTTCTGGTTGAAATTATGTTCACTGAAACTTTTCCAAGATGCCGATGGCGGTTTGGGTGAAATGGCAAAAAAAATATTTGTATTTTTAAAATCAATTATACACACAAAAACATTCTGGACACAACAATTATAAATATCTGTTACAAAAATATCTAGTAGCAAAAAATAGTTCTGAAAACGATTATTCAAATAACTATCTAACAAAATTGTAATTTACTAAAATTTACAAGTCCAGGAATGACCCCCTTCCAAAGTGAACTAAGAGCATTACTAACAAGAGTGTTGTCAGAAAGAAGAAATATGCCTGATGTTGCTGATGCTAGGTATACTGCTAGAGGTGTAGAGCAACTTGGATTTAAGCACTCTTCTGAAATATTTGTTGACTCATTCATTGTTGAGGTTGTTGTTGAGAAATGCAGTGAATCAGATATAAAGGTGAAGCAGAAGTCAGCTAGTGTTAGATTGCATAAAGTATTTGGAGAAGGTTTTGGTTATAAGTATGTTAGAAGCAAGATTAGTGAGCAATATGGACCAGTTGCTATTTACAAAGTATCTACCCCAAACATTGCAATAACTAGTTCTTTGTTAACAGTGAAGTTTGCTACTATGGCTGATCACAAAATATTTCTACAGAATTATGACATCACAATGGATTGTATGAATATCTCATCTAGAAATATTATCTATAAATACCTTTTAGAAAGAGGAGTTGAAAAGAAAGATGTTGTAGATGATTTACACAAGTCTGGCTCTAACTGTATTAGCTGGTTTACAAAGAAAGGAGATGTTAAAGTTAAGAACAAAATTTATAACAAGTTTATTCAGCTTCTTGAGAGTGGTGAAGTTCGTAATCCTCTTAGTTCCAAACTTTCTGAATTTGTAATGCCAACTTTGCACAACTTTGGAGAAACATTGTATGCTTGCAGAAACTCTGGTTTGACTAGGATAGAACTAACTGTACATTCTTCTCAGATGCAAACAGTTGAATGGAATAGTAACTTGCTTCTTAACACAGTTCAGTTTATGAATGAATGCAGAACATTTGCAACTTCTTATGAAAAGCAGTGGAAAGCACTTGTTGATAAAGTTAGTAGTTGTTATACAGTTTGCATTTATGTGAGACAACAGCATACTCTAGCATATTGTCATTGGTTTAACTCTATCACATCAAAGAAGCAAGGAATTATTAAGAAACTAAACAAGAATGATGATCCAATGGTAGTTGTTGCTAATCTCTCATTCAACAACAGACCTACACTTTATCAAATATATGATTCACTTGAGAGTGGTCTTGAAACAGAAAAAGTTCTTAGAAGAGTTGATGAGAATATAACTATTGTTCCAAGTCAGAGAAACTCCTTCTGGTCAACTTATCCTACAACTAAGCAGTATCACACTTTTGAAGAGATGGGATTAGTTAACTATAAAGGAATGCATATTGGTTGGATAGATAGTAAGCAAGCAAAGAGTAAGATATGTCTATCAAAAATGTCAGAGGATAAATATTCTGCAAAAGAGGAAAACATCAATGCATTAACAACAGCAATAGACAATATCACACTTGATGAAACTAGCCATATATTTATCAAAGAGAATACAGATCTGAAACCTTCATTGTATAGAGTTGCTTACAATGTTCTTCAGTTAGGTGATGAATTTACAGCTACACATTATGCACTCCATACTTTTAGAGGACATTCATACTTCTATGTTGATATTCTTATTAAAGGGAGAGATAAACAGCCAACTCTTATTAGGACACCAGTTGACAGTTCTATTGGAAAAGCAATTTCTCAACAGTTAGGAGAAAGAAAGCAACAAATATATCTAAGAGTTATAAGTGTGGGATATAGAACAATCACAGTTGAATAGCAGCCATTTTAAAACATAGTATAAGCAACCATTCTCTCCATATCTCTATGGAAAGTATGACAAACATCATACACATGTTCAACC